CCCTCCCTGGGTTGATTTCCAAGAAAGTACTTGATGTTCTTCCGGAAATGGCCTTGCTCTGGACGGAGGCAAGAGATGGGTTGTCCAGATGTCCGGCTGGCTTTGAGCAGAACCCTATAAAAATAGATCTTTCCAAGGCATTTCTTCCACGTCCTTTCTGCTCTGCAGACCAAATCCCCAACCCCGGTGTGGGTGTATTTCTTTTCCACACGAGATGCTCACTCGTAGAACTGCTCTGGGCCAGCAAGGCAACTTCCTTTCATGCCACTGACCTCCTGGGAAGGAGGAAAGGAAGCAAACTTTGAATGAAGAAAATAAATGTACCTGATTAGCAGCTTGGTAGAGTCACCAGGCAGCTAAGATGGGAAGCTGAGGCTCAAATCCAGGTCCCAGGTCTAAATCTTCTGTAAAACACCCAACTGCCTGTCTCAGAGGAGCAGACAAACCAGGTGGGGAGGCATCAGAGGGCACCACTCAACTGTGCACAGGAGACCATTGGCTGCTCTGAGCTTTGGAGCTTCAGGAGTTCAGAGAAGGGGAAATTACTTAGGGTGGAGGGAGTCACCAGGGAAATTAGTGAGCACAGTTGTCAACAGAAGTCCCAACAGAAGTGAGGAAAATCACATAAAGGAACCTCAGAATTTGGCCCACCCATTTGGTTTCAGAGAGAAAACACTTTTACATTTTTAAACTGAAAGCAGATTTATTCTCCAGCGCTGGCCCCTGGCCCTTGGTCTTTGGCTTAAAGACAAAAGGAGGTTGTTCATTCCCTGGGCTGAGATATTTGCTCATAGATCATGATGTGTGCTTTGAGCATGTGGTCTTGGAAAGGGGGTGTGCATTTGGAGAGTGTGAGGATGGGACTGCTGTGCTATTCTGCTCCAGCCCATGTGATGCTTGCATTCACAGATGCTGGAGAGCAGAAGAGGAGGGGCTGGACCAGGCAAACTCTTCCTTCCTCTCCACCTGGATGGAGTTGGGCAGTGTTGACAAATACGTAATTGTAAACCGGCATCTTAGAGACAGCGTAGACCTCAGAGATCACCTGTCCTCACTGTGCCTCTCAAACACTGTCCCCCTGACACATGCCCTTTGCTTAAATCTCTCCAGTCACAGGGAGCCCACTGCCTACAACACCAATCTGTCTCCCAATGCATACATAGCTGCTGTCATTGGAGAGCGTTTGAGCACTTTCTGGATGCTCCAGGCTCATCTTACATTCTCCCTGTCCTAGAAACAGCCATTTCTCCAAGGAACTCTCATCCCTTTTATTGGCGAATGGTATTGGAGACCAAGGTCTGAGCACTGAGGTGCTCATTGCTACTGGGGTGTCACTGTTTCTAGTCCCTCTCAGCAGACAGAGCTAGGAAATAAACATATGTATTATAACCCTTGTATACACACATATCTATAATAACTTCTGTACCTACCCGTCTGTATCTAGGTTAAGTTAAACACGAAGTCCTACTGGTATCTCTGATTAATGTAGTACCATGTGGATTATTATAGCGTCCTCCCTTGCTTATCTATAACTTCCTTCTCCAACAGTGAGAAGTCTGACTCCTACCATCAACCATCCATTTACTTACTTGTTTAAGCCCCAGCATACATGCGCGTGTTAACCAGAATCCCCATGTAAAACAATTTTAGTGACTTTTTTTGACTTTACTGACTCGGTTTCAGGGATTATGTACAGTTCCGTTTGTCTTTAGCCTTATAGTTTCCAGTCAAAACACTGTTTTCCAAAGTTACTTAGGTCAGTTCCTCTCCACTCCACTTCTCTCCTCATATAACAACAACTCGCACTGACGTTTTGTCATACATTTGCAATAAAGTTAGATTCTTTTGTCACAATCTGGTGCCCCCCAGCATCCCGGTTGCTTTTTAAAAATTTGCATATGTTAAATTTCACTCTTTGTGCTATAGTGTCTATGGATTTGGCAGTTGGGTAGCATCATGTATCTACCATCCTAGTATTATACAGAATATTCCATCACCTAAAAACTCCCCCATACTTCCCCTTTGCGGTTAACCACTCCTGCTTCCCCAAACCCCTGGCAACCACTCATCCATTTTTCATCCCTATAGTTTTACTTTTCCCAGAACGTTATGTGAATGAAATCATATAACATTTAGCTTTTTTGGTCTGTCTTCTCTATCTTAGCAAAATGCGCTTAAGATTCATCCATGTTGTCGTGTGAATCAATATCTCAGTACTTTTTATCTCAGATAACTATTCCATCATATGGTTACACCACAGTTTGCCAATTCACCTATTGAAGGACATCTTGGTTGCTTCCTGTTTTTGATGACCATGAATGAAGTGGCTGTAAACATTTGTGTACAGGTTTTCATGTTGACATATGTTTTAATTCACTTGGGTAAGCATCTAGAGTGTAACTGCTCCTGGGTCATATGGTAAGTCTATATTAAACTTTATAAGAAACCACCAAACTGTCTTCCAGAACGGCTGTACCATCTTGCATCCTCATGGGCAGTGAATGAGCGTTCCTATTGCTTTGCATCATTGTCAGCATTTGGTATGATCAAGTTTTTTTGGATTTTAGCCATTCCAGTAGGTCTGCAGTGATATTAAATGGTTGTTTGCATTTTTATTTTCTTAGTGAAAAATTACATCGAGCATCTCTTCATATGCTTGTTTGCCATCCATTTATCTCCTTTGTCAGTTTAGATTTTTTGCCCATTTAAAAAGCTGGATTGTGTGTTTTCTTATTTTTGAGTTTTAACAGTTCTTTATTCTGGATACATGTTCTTTACAACATATGTGATTTGCAAATGTTTTCTTAGTGTGAGACATGTCTTTAATTCTCTTAACAGTGTTTTCACAGAGCAAACTGTTTACTTTTGATAAAGTCCAATTTATCAAGTTTTCTTTCATGGATCCTGCTTTTGGTATTGCATTTCAAGCTCATCACCCAAACAGAAGTCATGCAGACTTTCTTCTAGAAGTTTTATAGTTTTCCGTTTTAGAGTTAGGTCTATGATCCATTTTGAGTTAAATTTTGTATAAGATGTGAAGTTTAATTTTGTTTTTATTATTTTTTTGGCATATAGACATCTGATTCTTCCAGCACCGTTAATTGAAAGAACCATCCTTTTTCCATTGTATTGCCATGGCACCTTTGTCAAAATTCAGTTGACCATATCGGTGTATACCTTGTGGTCGATTTCTGAGCTCTCTGTTCTGTTCCTTTCTCAGAGCTTTTGCTTCCTCAGATCCTTCTAAGGCTGGCTTCTTATTCAGGGTCAGTGTGAAAATTACCTTTTTAAAGAGGCCTTTCTGGGCCACCCTGTTAAACATGTCCCCCTTTCCTCCTTATTCAAATCACATCATATTGTTGTGTTGTCTTTGCAGCACTAACTAAGACCTGAAATTATCTAGTACTGGGTAAGAAAGTATTCAGGCCAAGGAGATACCATCCCACTGAACTCTAATCACATTTTTGTATTGTTCATTTCCAGTGTAAAAACTACACAAGATTTTTGTACATTAACCTTGTATCCTGTGACCTCGTTCAACTCATTTATTGGTTTTAATAGACTTTTTTTTTTTTTGGTGTGTGGATTCTTTAGATTTTTCTATATATGAGTGTGTCATCTGTGAATAGAGACAGAGATAGTGTTACTTCTTCCTTTCCAACCTCGATGTCTTTTATTTCTACTTCTTGCCTAATTGTCCTGGCTAGAACCTCCATTGCAGTGTTGAATAGAAGGGGTGAGAGCAGATCTCTTTATCTTGTTGCTGATTGTAGGGGAAACATTCAGTCTTTCACCATTAAGCATGATATTAGTTGTGAGTTTTTCACAGATATTCTATATCAGGTGAGAAAACTCCCTTTTACTCCTGGTTTGTTGATTGTTTTATCATGAAGGGGTTTTTTACCAAATGATTTTTCTGTGGCTATTGAGTTGATCATAGGTAGTGATTTTCCTTCTGAATAGTTTTAAGGGCCTCCTGCCAGTAGTTATGTCTGACTCTAGTCCCAACTTAGGTATCAACATACCTGGTGGGGGAGATATCTGGCTGCTCTTTTTTTTTTTTTCCTGTGTCTAGTCTGACTAGAACACTATTATTAAAATTATTATTATTATTTTTTGTAAATATGTAATACCTGCACACGATAAAAAAGAATCATTTAGGAAAAAGTCAACCATGACAAGCAAGTCTCTTCCCACCCTGACACCCTGCTTACCTTCCCCTTTAGCAACTGCTATGCTCATTTCCTGGAATATTGAGGTGCTTTCCTGCTACAAGGGCCGAGGTGAATAGTTGCCCCAGAGACTTTATGGCCTGAAAATCCTCAAGTATTTTCTATGTGGCCCTTTACAGAAAAAGTATGCTGATTCCTTTTTTTTTTTTTTAGTCTCTTACCATTTCAAAGGATGCCACTATGATATACTATGATATCGTTGTGTATGTCATTTTATACGTGTGAGTTTTGGTAGAGTGAATTCCTGTAAGTGGAATTGCTAGGTCTTACTGTCTCAGCATTTATCATTTTCATAGATACTACCACACAGCTCTCTTGATAACTTGAACCAGTTTACATTTTCTCCCTTGAGCCTGTTCCCGTAGCCTCGCACTAACAGTGCGCTAATAATTTGATACTTGCCAGTCTGATAACTGAAACATGGTACTCGTAATTTGCATTTTTCTTATTATGAATAAGGTTTAGCATATTTTCGGAAGCCAACAGTTAAAAAATCAAAAAGCAAAGAACAAACAACTCCTTCTGAGCCCTTTCTAGTCCAGTCGACTCAGGACTCAGGGCCTGGCCACCGCCAACAGCACGCGGGATGCCGGGCGTGGCCGGAGCTGGAGTGGGTGGCCGCGGAGCCCTCGGTTCCCCCCCCATCCCCTCCCAGCCGCGGAGCCCCGCCCTGAGTCCGCCTCTGGCGGGCCTGGGCGGAGCACGTGGCCCAGTGGGAGGTGCTGCGCTGCCTGATTTATTCCCTTCCAGGAGAAGGAGTGAGAACCGCCGGGTCTGAACAGCCCAAGCGCCGGGTCTCGGGCCCGCATCTCCACACCATGCCGTTCCCCCTTGTGCTGGCCGCGCTCTGCGGCGCGCTCCTCTGCGCCTCGGGACTCTTCGCCTTCTCCGGTGAGTCGATCGCGCCGCCCTCTCGCCCTCGCCCCTCCTCTCCGCGCCGCTCGGAAGTTCGCCGCCGCGCCCTCCCTGTTCCACTGTTTACAAACTTGGTCAGAGAGCCGGCGCCGAGCGGAGGGGCGACCTCTCCGGCTGCGCCCGGGAGGGAGGCGGGGATGCTCTCGGCCTCTCCTGCTGTCTCCGCGCCGGAGGGCTTTTGCCGGTGATAGAGGCTTGAGCGCTGGGCGGGGACTCGGGACACTGGGTGACAGCCCAGCCTCCCCCAGGGATGTGGCTTACACAGAACAAAGGAATCCGCTGTGTTGGGCCTCTCTTTTCCCATCTGTAAAATGAGGCCATTGAACTGTGTCTGACTCGCGCGCTCTTTCCACCAGGAAGTTTCTAGGACTCTTGTATTGATAAGTCTTCTCCAGCCAACTTTCCCTGGTAACTCCCTTCCCAGCCCTGGCGGCTGGTCAGTTCACTGGAATTTTATCCTCTGCTTCAAACTAGGTGTCTGGTCAGATAAGCGAAGGGCTGGGGAGTCGGTGGAATGGAAGGGCCTTCCAGCTGGGACCCAAGAGGGGGCGAGGAGCCTGGGGAGGGACTTGGAAAAGGGCTCCCTCCTGAGGTGGCGGCTCCTGACTTCCCCCCTCCCCCTGCAGCCTTGGGCTGCTGCTTTATCTTCCTTGGTCCTCCTCCCCCGCCTAGGACGCATCCTGCTGGCAGCTGGGCCTCCAGCAGGGTGGTCATGGGGATGCCCTATTCGCTTCACAGTGGGCTGAGGAAAGGGTGCCCACGGGGTGGGGGGAGATGGCAAAGACTCTTCAGGCACCCCCTCCATCATTTTCTCATAGAAATAGGATTGGCTGAAGCAAGTTGGGGGTGGGTGGGTGGGTCCCAGATGAGCCCTGGCTGTGCCATCCGGTGCCAGTCTGACCCCCAGGCTTGGAGTGGAAGCCTAAGGCCACTCCAAGCTCCTCTGAGACATGGAGAGCTGGCTGGGTCTTAAAAGTCCCTTGCCACTCCTCTCTGGCCCCAGAGCCTGAGCCCTGGCAAAATGTCCCTGGGGAAATCTCCCAAAGAGGGTAGGACGCTGAAATCCCAAAGGCGGTTTTGTGGAGGGTGACCTGGCTTTGTGGGAAGGGGGAAGTACCACAGCTGCAGTGCGCAGGTGAGTCAGTCAAGGGCCTGCCAGATAGGGGAGACCTTTCCCTTTCCCTTTTGCCCACTCACCTGCTTTGCCCTGGAGCAGTACAGGGAGAGGGCACTTTGGGAGGGGGAGAAAGGGGAGTTGGACCTTGCTTGGTCAGGAGCCCAGGTCTCTGGCCATCCTCAAGCCTCTGCCGTGGCAGTGCCCACCGCCTGTCAGGTCAGGGAGGGGATTAACCTGCTATTTAAAGCCAGTGACTAATAGCTCATTGGGAGCCTCCTTAAGCTCCCGAGGCCCACGCTGAGGTGGAGCTCTGAGGCCTCCATTGCTCATTAACAGTGTTCCCTTCCCTGGAGCCCCCGCCCTGGTCTCTGGGGCTTTGGGATCTCAGGAGGGCCTCCAGCCTGGGATGGCTTGACTCTGCAGTGAGGAAAAAAAGATGTCTCATGTTTTACCCCAAATGACGGGTTTGGGTGTGGGGTCTGAGGCAGCCCTTCTGGGATGCTAAGGTCAGCTAGAAGGTGCTCTGCAGGCCTGGCTGACCTAGCGGGCTGAAGTTCACTCGAGTCAAGGGATTGGGGACAGGTTAACAGTGCACATCTGTCAGCCAGGCCCCCAGCCAGAAGCAGTGATGTCCTCTCTAGCCCTCTTCCCACCTCTATATCCGTTGTCCAGTTTTTCTCAAATCTGTCCTTCTTCCTCACCCCTTCGCCTGATTTCCTGTCTTACCAGGAGGCTTGTGGCAGCCTCCGTGATGCTCTCCTGGTTTCCTACCTCACCTGCTCCCGTCATATTTCCACACAGAGCCAGAGGGATCTTTGTGTAGCTACAGGATGCCTCCCCACCCTGGGCAGTGCATCCACATCTCTGCAGATTGCCTTTGCTTGACATTCTCCATCCCCAGCTAAGAAATGGCTTCCGCACTCCCACCTCATGCTTGCGAATCTCTGACTTTTTTTTCCCTGGTGGACAATGGTGGGGAGACTAAAGGAAGGTTAAGAGCCCTTGTTCTGCAGGATGAAAAGTCTAAACTTGTCATTCTTAAGAGTCCCTACCAGTCTCCCTTTTCAGCGATGTCTTACTGTTCTCCAGCATACCAAGTCCTCTGTGCTTCTGCTTTTCTGAAGAAAGTTCTTTCCTCACTCCCCAGCCCGACACCCTCGCATTCTGACTTTTTTTTTTTTTTTGGCCATGCCACAGGGCATGTGGGATCTTAGTTCCCTGACCAGGGATCGAACCTGTGCCTCCTGCATTGGAAGCACAGAGTCTTAACCACTGGACCGCCAGGGAAATCCCTCCCTCTCTGACTTTTAAACCAGCTCAAATGTCCCCACCTTTGAAACTTCCTGCTCCCTGGCAGAAACCATCCTCCACTGGCCCCTCATGCAGGCTTCTGTCAGAGCTCATGGTCCCTCTTCATTATGTGGTGACTTGTCCGCCTCTTTCCTCTGGTTTCTTGAGGCCTAGACTGCATCTGATCTCTCTGTCTCAGGGGCCCAGGACATACATGGTAGTTGGCCCCCAGATATTTACTCAATGAACGACTTGTTCCTGACTCAGAACTGTTATTGCAGGTGACTTCTGTGACTCCAGCCAGTGCCTGCATGGTGGGACCTGCTTGTTGGACCAGGACAAACAACCCCCCTTCCACTGCCTCTGCCCTGAAGGCTTCACGGGCCTCATATGCAATGAGACTGAGAGAGGTACCCGCCCTGGGACATACCTGCCGCTTCCCACTGGCTCCCAGCTGCAGCACAGGCTGCTAGGCTGAGCTCCTCCTGAAGTGAACACTGGTCCCAGCACCCCTCCTATTGCCCGCCAGCTTTTCCCTGGAAGCTCCCAGGCCACTTGGAAAGCTGGGTGCTTCCTTCACTTGGACTGACTCACCTACCTGTGACCCTTCTTGGCTCCAGGCTGGCCCAGGCCCCATCGGGCAGATTGGGAGGGGGAGGGACGAGATGCTTGGGGGAAGCGGGCAGTGGGTCGAGTTTGGGCGGAGGGTCCTTTTGGGCTTGGCCCATCTGCTTCTGCCTGTCCCCAGCTCCTTCCTGATCATCTGCCCATCTCACCTGCCTCCCTCTCCCCAGGTCCCTGTTTCCCAAATCCCTGCCACAATGATGCCGAATGCCAGGTGATTGACGACTTCCACCGAGGGGATGTCTTCACCCAGTACATCTGCAAGTGCCCTCATGGCTACACAGGCATCCATTGTGAGATCGGTGAGTATCTGGCGGTGCCTGTTCTAGGGGGCAGACCCTGAGCCACAGTCCTGGCAGGCCAGGCAGTGTGCTGGCCTTATTCCTGGGTCAGGGTGCATTGAGGCAGGGGACAGAGCCTTAGTTAGGCCGGGGTGGTGTGGGGGGGAGGGGCGGGGGACCCTTTTGTCCCTCCCCAGGCTTCTTCCTGCCTGGCCCTCTCTCCTGGGACTGCAGGCCAGGCCTGATGTCTCTGCAGGAGAGTGAGGGCTGGTGGTAACCCCAGAGGTCATGGGAGTGTTATTTTATGTCACCATGAACCAGACACACAGCATTAGGGTAAAGTCTTGACATTTTTCTACCAAGAGGGGAAAACCAACAGATTCTTAATCTTTTGGGGCCCAGGAGATTAGTTAATACGGTTTGAGCCTCAGGGTCTGACAGTTCTGGCCCAGGTCTGACCTCTGGCTTCATCACAGAGCTCTGGGAAGAGGGAGAGGCCTGGGCAGGCTGGGTCATCCCCTCACGGTCAGGCGCTCAGAGGCCCTGCGTGTGTAGAGGGGCTGACCCGCCTGGCCTGCTTGGCCATCCACGTGGCCACAGACCGGTGCTGGGCGGGTACCCGGCAGACCTGGCCAGCATTGTCTGTGCATGGCGTCTCCCTCCTGGCCTGGCTGGGGTCCCTCCCACAAACCAGGACTCTTCCTCACCTGCTGTGGGGCGGGCGAGGCCATGTCTAGGTGCAGGGTAGGGGGAGTAGGGGTGGCGGTGCCAGACGTCTGCAGTCTGGTGGCTCTGTCACTGAGCACTGCAGGCAGGGGGCAGGCGGTCCTGCTGTAGGCAGATGTGGGGCTGGGCTCCGGGAGGAGGAGGGAGGGCAGGCCCAGCCTGGTGGGAGCCGGCTCCTGGGGGAGAGCAGATGAAGTGCCTGTGACGCCCTTCATCTTAGAGGAGACAGCCCCACGGGCCTGGGCCCTGGGCCCTGGGTTGAGGCCGATGTATCTGAGATACTGGGTGGAGGAATGTGGGGGGGCGGGGTTGCCAAAGCTGACAGAGCCCTGGGTGGGGCCAGGTGGGCCCACTAATTACGCTGCTGGGAGCCCAGGTAACCCTGGGTGTGCCTGAGTGGGGATTACTCATCTAGCCTCCTTCTGCTTCTCGGCCTGGGGTCTGTCCCAGGCTGGATATGGCAGCACCTGGGGCAGAAGACAGGAGGTGACCACAAAGCTGGAGGAACACCCCCAGAGAGACCTTTGCAGCCCCTCCTTATCTGTTACATGGTGTGTTTCCTTGGAGCCCACCAGGACCCCACAGGCCCAGATAATGTACGTTTGGGGCCCTCTGGGTGTGGGCATGGGGGCTCTGAGAACACAGCAGAGCAGACCTGGCTTCAGGTCTCTGCTCAGCCAGTGGCCGGCTCTGATCTCGGGTGTATGGCCTCCCTTGTGCCTCACTCTCCCTGCGAGAATGTCAGACACCGAGCTTGGCGTGAGCCTGGGATTTTGGAATAAGAGTGGACCTGTCCCGGGTTCTCTGCTTGGGAGCTGAGCCCCAGGCACACAGGCTTGGCCCCCAAGGACCACATTGCTTGGCCAGGGGCAGCTTCCCAGATGGCTGGATCAGGACCAGTAGCTAGAAGGGGCAAAGGGTATGAGGGAGAACAGAATGGCACTCATACCCCATCCAGAAAACTCCTGCCAGTGGGATTCTAGAAACCTCCAGGCAGATGTGCTTCTTGCTTTTTGTGCAGTACGAGTACTGTTCACTCTGCTGTCTGAGGCGTCGCTTCTTCCACAGCCATCCTCCTGGGGGAGCCAGGGACTGGGCTGGGTGCCGTGGTCCTCCTGATGGGGCGGGGGCACGAAGGAAGAGGAGGCCATGCTGCTATTCACTCAGCAGCCCATCCCCCCCTCGAATAATTGCCGCTCCATATCCTGTAAGAACGAGACCACCTCCTGCCGCCTGCTGGGGGACACCAGCTGCCAGTCATGGCAGTACCATGAGTGCCGGCCTGCCCTAGAACCTTCTGGCAGCCCAGGGTCCCAACCCCCAGTGACTCTGCCCGGCCCCTCTCTTCCTCACTGTGCACTTTGTCTTGGTATCTCCTCCTTGGCCTTCATTGTCCCTTCATGGTCTCTGCTCTGGGTCCCTGGCAGAGGCCACACTGTCTTGTTCTTGTGTCCTCTGGGCCCTGCCTGCTCGGGTGGCCCTCTGACTGCCCCCTCCCCCCTCAGTCTGCACCTCGCCGCTGGGCATGGAGACGGGCGCTATCGCCGACTCCCAGATCTCCGCCTCGTCCATGCACTTGGGTTTCATGGGTTTGCAGCGCTGGGCCCCGTATCTGGCCCGCCTGCACCTCACGGGCATTGTCAACGCATGGACATCCAGCAACTACGACAGAAGCCCCTGGATCCAGGTATGGAAGGGACGGCTCAAGGGTGCGTAGCGTGATGGGAATGGACAAGGTGGGATGAGTGCGCCTGCATTTGGGGGTCACCACGGGAGGGTTCATAACCGGGATCCAGGTAGCATGGTGGCAGGTTCCCACGGGTGAAGTTTCTTTAAGTAGAGGGCAGCTTTGGGGGCCTGGAGTGCGTGGGCAGGATGAGGGGGAGTGAACGCTAGGCTGTAGAGGGGCTCTTTGCACTGTACGAGGCCTCTGGAAGCTTGTCCTTGTGTGCTTCCCTGAGCACTGGGCCCAAAGCCTGGAGAGGGCCAGATGAGAAAGCCGCCCTTATTTGTCCTGCTTGCGTTGTTCTCCTTCTGGGCTGCGGGAGTGATGGGGGTGAAAAGAACCTGGGAGATAGGGGTTCTGTCCTTCCTGTCCTGGTCCAGGTGAACCTGATGCGGAAGATGCGGGTGACAGGTGTGGTGACGCAGGGTGCTAGCCGCGCAGGCAGTGCCGAGTACCTGAAGACTTTCAAGGTGGCCTACAGCACCAATGGGCGCAAGTTCCAGTTCATCCAGGGTGCAGGGGAGTCAGGAGATAAGGTGAGGTTTGTCGTGAGCCCTAAAGAAGGGCTGTGGTCAGCAACCCCTGGGGCTCCAGCGCTGTTTGAGGGCCCCCAATGAGGTGAGGGTGCCCTGGGTGATTGGCCATGAGGTGGGTTTTCAGGTGTATCTTGGTTTGAAGAATTTGGGAAACCCAGATTGTGCCCGTGCTCTGTGGTTAAAAGTAATAGCCCCACTTTATAGATAAGAATAGTGAGACTCAAAAAGTTTCAGTGACTTGTTGAGGGTGGCAGTAGTGGTGGATATGGGATGCATTCAGAGCCGCCAGGGATACCATGTACAGTCATACAGGTTGTGTACTGCTCAAGGGTGTCATTACTAAGTCAGCACCATTCACATCATGTTTGTGTACTTCTATCTGTGGGAAAATTGTTATAAAAAAGTCTTTTGAGAAAGGAGTACCTTTTCCTAATTTGCACAGAGGCACCCTATAGATCATAGGTGGCCCTGTGCGAAAGACGGGGGTTTATGCCCAGGCCCCATGGTGACCAAGGAAGATCTGAAAAGGGGAATCTGTGTTGAGGACTGTGAGGTGGCCAGAGGAAGGGCTGAGCCCCTCCTGGTTCTGCTAAGCCCACTTCTGCCTCCGGGCCCAAAGAGGAAGGGGAGACCGCCCCAGGAAGTGGGACTGCCCACACTGACCCACTCATCCAATCTGCCTCTTCTCTCCTAGATATTTAGGGGTAATGTGGACAACAGCGGCCTGAAGGTCAACCTGTTTGAAACCCCTCTGGAGGTGCAGTATGTGAGACTGGTGCCCATAATCTGCCACCGGGGCTGCACCCTTCGCTTTGAGCTCCTTGGCTGTGAGTTGAATGGTGAGTGCTGGAGGCTCTGTAATCCCTGGAGATGGCTTTCCCTGCCCCCTCTTTTCTCAGCCAAGCTGAGCTGAGTAGGGTGGCAGCAAGGCCCAGGAACCTGGGCTCTCACAGGAGATGGCCACAAGAGGGATCACCTGACCATCAGCAGTCCTGCCCAGGTGTTTGCTCTTTGCTGGTTGCTAGAGGAAAAAAGACACCACTTCAATTTTCAAAATATTTTCACTTACTCTGATTGGTTCCTTGAGCTTCTAGAACATGTAGCATTAGTTCTGTTTTGCAGATGTCAGTTCCATGAGGGCAAGGAGTTTGTTTTGTTCACTGCTGCATTCCCAGTGCCTAGAACAGAGCCTGGCTCATAGGCACTCAATAAATATTGATGGATGAGTGAGTGAATGAATGAATGAGAAAAATGAGGCCCAGATAAATTGTTTATCAGGGGCACACAGCTGGTAGGTATTAAAAGTTGGTCTGAATCCCTGGGCTTCTGACACCTACCCATCCACTGTTTCTTCCCCCAAACCTGTAGCCTGCATTCAAGAGAAACATGGGGACTTCTAGGGTCATAGGGCTGGAGGTGGTGCTTTTTTTTTAAAGATTTTTTTTGATGAGGACAATTTTTAAAGTTTTTATTGATTTTGTTACAATATTGCTTCTGTTTTATGTTTTGGTTTTTTGGCTGAGAGGCATATGTGATCTTAGCTCCCTGACCAGGGATCGAACCTGCACCCCCTCGTTGGAAGGTGAAGTCTTAACCACTGGACCTCCAGGGAAGTCCCCTGGGGATGGTGATTCTTTTTTTTTTTTTTTTTGCGGTACGCGGGCCTCTCACTGTTGCGGCCTCTCCTGTTGTGGAGCACAGGCCCTGGACGCGCAGGCTCAGCGGCCATGGCTCACGGGCCCAGCCACTCCGCGGCATGTGGGATCCTCCTGGACCGGGGCACGAACCCGTGTCCCCTGCATTGGCAGGCGGACTCTCAACCACTGCGCCACCAGGGAAGCCCAGGGATAGTGATTCTTGTTGCTCTTTCCAGAGAGATTCTCAGATGGAGGGATGGGGGACCAGAAGGGGATAGGTTTCTGCTGAGTCATAAAAAATCTCACCACTGGAGAGGTCAGGGTGCAGAGGTTGGGCTGAGGGCCTTGTCTCTGCCCAGCTCAGCCCAGCCTTGCCTTCTCTGAGGTCTGGATATTTCCCTCTTTTTGCAGCCACAGTGCCACCTGCTGGCCACCGGCAGAACTGTAGGGCTCACTAGGCAGAGCTGCAGAGCAGAGGTGTTCTCTGTCTTTCTTGTCTTAACCCAAGACCCACCCTCTGCTCCCCCTTCCACCCCCTGTGGCACCTCTTTCTGTTATCCCGTTTTAGTTGCTGCCCAATACCACTCAGAGCTCAGTTCAGTGACTGTCTGGGTTTAGTCTTTTTTTTAAGTATGAACTTGAGCTAGCATATTCTTGCTCCCAGCGTCACTGCTTTTTGAGCCTAATTGTTCTTTTTCTTTTTTTTTAAAAAAATATTTATTTATTTATTTATTTAGGCTGCGCCAGGCCTTAGTTGCGGCATGTGGGATCCTTAGTTGCAGCAAGCATGTGGGATCTAGTTCCCCGACCAGGGACCGAACCCAGGCCCCCTGCATGGGGAGCATGGAGTCTTAACCACTGGACCACCAGGGAAGTCCCCCAAGCCTAACTGTTTTAAGTGGGGAGTTAAAGACTTTGCCTTTTGCTAAAAGGAAATTCAGGTAATTGGTAAAGAACATAGACAGGTCTGGGGCCCCCCACCCTGGGCTCCTCTCCCTGCAGTCCCTCACTACTCACTGTCATAGTCTGAAGCCTTTGGCTAATTGCCAGCCTAGGCCTGTCACAGCCAGTTACCTCCAAGACCAAGAGGGTGAATCTGGCGAGCCGAGGAAGTGAAGTTTTTCTGTCTGCTTCTCTCAAGGACTGGATCATCTCCTTTCCCTTGTAGGCATTCCGGTCACCTGGAGAGAGTGTTGGTGTGTGCCTGTGTGCACATGCGTGGGGCTGAGGTCTGGCATTTCTGGGCATGCCTCGCACCAGGATTCCTCTTCACCAGCAGGCAAGGTGTCCTTGGTGAATTGATTAGTTATTTAACTCAGTAGACATTTATTAAGATATTTATTAAGCTCCTTCTGAGTGCCTGGCTCTAGGGAGCAATATTGGTGAGATCCCTGACCTCATGGAAATTGCATTCTAATGAGGGAGGCTGATGTGAAACAAGGATCAAATAAAAGAAAGGTCAGATAGCAGCAAGAACTATGAAGGAAACATTAGAGGGAGATGTGATGAGGGTGACTTGGGGTGAAGAGAGGGAACGGCATGGGGACTGCTGTGTTGGATGGCGTTTGAGTAGAGGCTTGAATGATGGAGATCAAGCCATGTGAAGAACTTGCAAAGGGCATCCCAGGCAAGGAATTGACACATGCAAAGGCCCTGGGGCATGTGAAGGATAGAAGGGAGGCCAGTGGAGCTGGAACCTAGAGAATGAGGGGTAGCTTGGTGGGTGATGAGGCTGGAGAGGTAGGCAGAGATGGACCAGGCAGGGGCCACATAGACCATTTTAAGGATTCAGGTCTTTATCCTGAGAACAAGGGGCAGCCATTGTGGAGGGAGTGCTAATAGAACACGATTAGAGTTGGGTCTAGAAGAGCTCCCTTAGGCTGTATAGGGAGAATGGGGGCAGAGGGCCACTGTGAGTGAGGGGAGAGACGTGGGAATCTAAGGTGGCTTGGGTCAGGGTGGTGGAGTCAATGGATTGGGCAGATTAGAGCCTTCTACTAAAGTGAGCTTCATGGACCAGCAGGATGAGCATCACCTGGGAGCTTGTAGAAATGCAAACTCCCAGCCCCACCCTTGACTTTCTGAGACAGAATCCTCATATTAACAAGGTCCGCAGGTGATCTGTGAGAAGCACTGCTCTGGTACCTCATTTTATAGATGGGGAGTCTGAGGACCAGAGAGGGGAGGGACTTCCCAGGGTCGCATAGCGAGTGGTGGAGCTGACAGTCCTGCTCTTGGCTTGGTGCCCTGCCCAGGGCATTTTATGTGGAAGGCTGTCTGACATGCCGTAAGTGATGGGGGCATGAACTGCTGGAAGCAGATGATCTGTAGAAGGGTCCACCGTGGGCAAATGATGCCTTGGCGTCCTCTGCAGAGTGTTCCAGCCTTGGGCCGGTCTCATGGCCCCCAGGTCTGGAGCCGTGGGATGAGCCACCTCCCAGCCCAGCAGGCTCTCTTTGTGGGAGCAGGGTGGAGGTTACCTGGTGCACCACCGTCACGAGGAGATGGTACGATTGGTCGGCATCAGCACACTCTGGAGGCAAATGTCTTTAGTGGCAAGGGAGCGAGCGTGTGGGGAGACAGTGAGGTAAAGCACTGGGTACTATAGTCAGCTCCCAGATGGAGCCATGACTTTCCAAGCCCACTCTCCCACTCCTGACTTTGCAAAGGGTCAGGCAGTTGTACAGTGGTGATTCTGCCACGTGTGAGACACGCCCATCGTTCTTTTGGGAGTTTTATCTCCTGCCCATTCCCAACCCTTCTGGCCACCTGCAGGTGCAGAACAGCCAGCACATTCCTGAGTGTTTGGAGCAGGCCTGAGTGAAACCAAGGCCAGCTTCTCAGGTAGCCCTCCCAGGCCTCTCTGACAGCATGCCAGGTAGTGAGTGTGAAGGCCCTCTGGGAGGGGCTGTGGGGCAGGGATACAGGGTTGTTCCTGAGCCCCAGGGATTCTGACTTTTCTGCTTCCACCTGCTAGAGAGCAGGAATATTGTCCTGCTCATCGCTGGGTCACCACCAGGCAGGCCTTCACGGCTCTGGGTTGGTGCAGGAATGGTGGAGATAGTGTCACAGTGTGACATGGTGATTAGGAGTGTGTGTGTGTGTGTGTGTGTGTGTGTGTGTGCGCGCGTGTGTGTGTGTGTGAGACTTGGGCACAATGCTTAATGTCTCTCAGCCTCAGTTTTCTCATCTGTGGAATGGGGTTACTAATATCCTCTTCGTTCCGGTTTTTGTGTGGTAGATTAAATGACTGAAGTCAGCGCTGAGTCAGTGAGATGATTGTTATTAGCACTCTTGATGGTTATCCCAGGACTCAGCGGTGTGAATAGCAGCTGTACTGTAGGAGTGACAGAGGAATTGCTGTGAGTCCAGAGGAGGGAGGGACCACCACCCAAGTGAGGTGGTCAGGGCAGGCTTCTTGGAGGAGGTGTCCCATGAGTCAGGCCTTGAAGGAGGGTGGAGGTGGTGGATCAGGGCCTGCCGTGGTGCAGAGGGAGAAGAGCGG